TCATAGGTCTGTAGTTGTTAAGGTCATTGTGATCTCCTTTTTTAAAATAGGGTGTTACTCTTGCTATTTTTGAATTTGTTGGAAATATGCCTTCTTCTGTGTATGAGTTTATGAGATAGATTAATGGATGGCATAATTTATTTTGACATTGTTCAAGTAATTTATTCGATATATTGTCAATGTCACAAGAGTTAGAATTTTTTAAACCATTAATTATACTTTTCAAATCATTTTCTGTAATCGGGTGCATGAAGAAACTATTCGGATTATTGTCAATATTTTGATGTATGAATTGCCAATCATAATTGCTGTTATTTATCAGTGGTTCTGTGAAATGTATATTGAATTTATTGGATAACTCTGTATCATTCAAAGTTGTTTCATTTTCTGTTATTACTATTTTTCTATGGTTTACTGGAGATTTTTCTCGCAAGTCATTGATAACATTCCAGGTTGTTTTCGAATTATTATCAGAGGTTAAAATCAAATTGTCATAATAAGACTGGGAAGCTACCAGTAGACCTTGCTGATATTCTCGATTCAAAAAACTACTCAATTCCCTGAAACGAGGATCATGTTTGACAGATTATTGTAAAGAGAGACATTGTTCTTGAGGTTAACTAGAGCAGGTGTCATAATATATTTAGTAACTTGTTTCTTATTATCACCTCTTTGGTGTACCTTTCTATTCGAAAATGACATCTCGAAGTAGTGTAACATGATATCTGCAAATTTTTTTTGTTTGTTTGTTTGTGTAATAAAATTGTTGAAAAGTCATGTTCTCTGGTAGTTCATCAAATAACAGGTCAAAAAATTGGGAGTAGTGGTCTGAGAGATGCATGTTCACTACTGCTACACTATAGGGTTTTACAGTCTTGATTAGGAAATTATCAATACATGTTGCTGAGTTTCCTTCAACTCTTGTCGGGATTCTCACTGTGACATTAACATCAAGACAAGATAATAAATCTTCGAGTAATATACAATTTGTCGTGTGAGAAATGAAGTTGATATTGAAGTCACCTCCAATAATTACTGTCATCTCTGGTGAACATATTTCACTCAGAATATCACTAAGTATTCCCAAAAACTCATGAAAGTTTCCATTAGGAGGCCGATAAATTACAATGCAAATTATTTTTTGTGCAACTATTTTTATAGCACAAATTTCAAGATACCTTCTTCACAGCAATCATCTATATCATATCGTTCTACAACTCCTTGAAAGTCATCAAGTTTATAGATTGCAACTCCACCATAAGTCTTTTCTTTTCTAGAAAACGAATTACAAAGAGTGAATCTACTTGATTTGAAGCTATCAATCGATTCTTGAGACAGCCAGTGTTCAGATATAAGCAAAAAATCACAGTACTTGTCATCTTCAAAAATATTGTTCAAAAGTAGTGTTTTATTTCCGAGACATTGAATGTTCTGGTGACAAAAGGTGATTTTGGTCTTTTTAGCATCGATTACAGCTTGAATATTTCCTTCCGGTTCACCGTTTGTTTTTGAGAATGATCTAAAAAAAGAGGTGAGCTGGTTCTGTATCATTGAATTCGCTTATTTCTATCGTCTTCAGAACAATTTTTTGTTGGTTTCTTGCTGTGAATTCAAAATTATTCTTTAGTTTTTCCATGAGTTCAAAATTGCTGCCTTTTTGTTTTCTATCAGTAAGAAATGCTATTGAGCAGTTTTTATTGAATTGTTTGAATGTCTTAATTTTTTTGAAATTAAGCCTATTGATATTTTTATCATGGTAGTTGTTACATCCTGATATAAGGAAAGGATTTGTAAATTCTCCAAGACCTAGTACATTATTCAGAAACAGTTGTAAGGTTCTGTTATCACTTATGTTATTAGTGCACATATCAATTATTGTATCAGCCTGGCCATATTCTAATGTTTCGCAGAAAATATTTTTAGTTAACTCACAAAGTTCAATTTCCTTTCTTATATTCGCATTTATCTTATAAATGTAGATTGATCTATAATTTTTGTGATGGCTCGAGGGAATCCTGTCGCATACTGGTCGCCACAGATATAATTTTTTTTGTCAGAACTCGTTTGACTTTGAATAGTGTCAGTCACATCTTAAATATTTGTAGTAGTAGTAGTAGTATTTTGTTGAATAATTTCAGTGAATAATTTCAGTTGATATATTCGCTACTTCCAATAATACATAAACTCAAATTTGCTTCCCATCAGTGTCAAAGTCATGCTAAGAAACACACATCAGACAAAATGGTTTTAAAGTCGGAAGACTGAAACCAAGTAGGGGGTTCGATGAAACATATGCATAGATTGCCAAATGCATAAGGTTGAAGTCCACTCGATAGTGATAGGGGTGGATGGACATGGGGATGAGGAGCTATCATATAACGTGAGCTAGTTATACGGCGGCACTTGATCCTGGGCATTCAACCTTTCGGGGGGCGAGATGTGTGTATGTGTAAGTTTAGTTCATTGTACCAGTATATCACCTGACGAAGTTACTGTGTGAGCGAAACATGTCGTGTGTTTGAGAATTTTGTGGAAATCTTATCGTTCGTGAAGTTTTCATAATTCCGATGAATTTCTATCGAGTAACGGCCGAGTTAGTTGAGAAAAAAAACCAAATGATCTGGATATGAGGTATAAGGGTCTTATAAAAAAAACGACATCTATAAGTGAGTTCACTGTTCGTTTTGGTTACTGGATAAAACGCTTCGCATTTTATAATATTTTCATGATTATGTGATTTGGTTTCCATTATCTCAGCTATGACTTCGATTCTCCTTGGACTAGATTTTCAATGAATTGAGATCATTTCAGAATTTCTATCTATACTTCCACGGAAAATGTTCTTTGGAAATCTCTGCTATCATCCCTCCACTAGCAATACCAATCAGACAAACTAGACAAGCCCAGTCAGCACATCCTTTCGTTGTCAACTTCGAAAGATGTCGAACTGCACTTTATCAAGACTCCTTCATTCATAGAACGGCTAGGCTCTGGAATTCATTGCCTGTGGAAGTATTCCCAACAACATATAATCTCCAAAAGTTCAAAAAAATTCCGATACCTACCTCCTGTCCCTATCCTCCCTAGGAACGCACGATGTTCTTTGAACATTATAGGGATTCCCTTTCGTGCGCTCCAAGCGATGGAAAAAAAAAAGATATTCAACAAAAAATAACAACAAATAAATATTGTATTTATTCGATATCATCATTCTCACAGTCTGATTCCGAATATTGATCAAGCCTGTCATCGTTATGTGAACACTGACGCTTAGGTTTGTATCAGTTTGACTAATGGAGAGAGAGTGTAGGTTGCATGAGCTTAGAATGCCTACAGGTCTCATCCAGTATGTCAATGGGATACAATCATCTACAAAATACATCTTTCCTTCGTGAAAATGTGTGTCATGGAGTATATGGAGGATATATTATAGATATCATACCATGAAGTATAAACTCACTGATGAAAGGAAATATTGGAGCCTGGAGACAAAATCTATCCACTCCTAACACCCGTTCACAAAACGCGCGATGGTTCGTAAGCGATGTTCAGAACTAACAAATTGAAATTTGTCAATGAACAAGTATTTCGAAATCATGAAAGTAGATACTCAAAGGCGATAGCACGATGAAAATTGTCCGTATAACATAACCAAATGAACAGGGAAATAGTCACGATATCACTTAGCGATGAATATAATCAAAACCATCAATTATAATATGATAGCTGAATCAATTGACATTCTTGTTTCTTTGAGTTTTCACAATCAAATATTGTGAAGTTTCGGAGCATCGGCTGGGGATAGTCCTGCACGATTCGCTGTTGCGTTCCAATTAACAGTGCTGCTCCTAAAGTGGCGCATGGAGTTAGTAACAAAGCCTACACAGAACACGCAGAAAGATATGATGATGTGATTGTGAGCATCAGAAAAGAAGTAGGACGGTGTATGTAGGTGGGTGTGGAAAACTACCAGCTGAGCGTGAGAGCCGGCCAGCTGCTTAAGTAGACCTCTGTCTCGGGGGTTAACGAGGATAGTTAGCAGGCCTGCCACTGCGCATATGGTAGTGAGAACATTACTAGCCTACAAAACACAGCTGAAAAACTCTGAAAAGAGAGCTGATGAGCGGTGCCTGAAAAGGATGTTAGCCAGCTCTCTTGAGCGAACCACATCAGTCATTGAAAACATTTGAGGTTTGCAGAAAGGTCCCATTGGGGACTAGTTGCTGACGTGGAAACGTCCCCCACCAGTACCAGTACCAGTACCAGTTCTTTGAGTTCGAGTTTGATCAGTGAAAATGGCGTCGTCGCCCGTCTCCTGTTAGTCAACGCGTAGTTAAAATGTGCAATGCGCATACGACTTAGCACAGTATATCTTGTTTTCGTATAAGTAGTTATACCATTTCAAAATTTGAAATCTTTCTGAATGTTAACATTTTCTAATTCTCAGGAATTTCAATCTCAACCGTTACGAGCCATGACATGATCCTACTCAAACAGGTGAATTTTGTTGCCAGTTGCTGCAAATGGACTGTCATAAGAATTCATAAAAAAAGTCGCTATGAGTCGTTACTGAGTACCTTCCTCCATGATTGAGCGACAATTTCGATCATCGACTTTGAGTTCAATGCAAATGTGATTTTCGTTGTTTGAACACATAAGTAATCGAGTTAACTTCAACGATGTGAGAAACTCCTCATCTTCGACATTATGTAGAATATAAAACGCATAAACAATGTGAAGAACGACAGAATTTTGGACACGTCGCAAATCGAATTCGAATATCGCATTGATCTACCTTGAGAAAGCATGATTCGAATCTGTTGAACTCTGTATTGATCTACTCAATGGAGCAATATAAATCGAAGGCTATGCTAATGATATATACTGGCAATTATTCCTTATTCTGTCTTGAAAATTTTGGTTTAAAAGATACAACAAATGAACTGAATAACTTCAGTGTTATTATCATGACTGTTCACAATGATAATGATTGAACTCACCTGGTGGCAAAAAAGCTATTGATTCCTCAGAATTGAATCCGATCATACTAGGTACATGATTGAAATTTCCATCGATGAAATCTTGATGCATGGGAGTCGTGACGAAAGCTTGGTCATCTACTACATTTTCCACAACAGGTGTCCATACTAGCTGCCCAATAAATCCGAAAGAGACAGAATCTGAAACCTGAAAAGAGAATAGCTATCTGAGCTCCTTTCATACTCATTACCCATCATGAAATATATCGATGGAGGTTGAGAGATGAATGAATATATTGTTGCTATAAATGTCTCTTCATCAATGATGACTCTAGATATATTTTCTGTATCGACTGAGAATCATAGAGATAGAATTATTCGTAAATGGTTATTCTTTGATCTTGAAGTATGAACACTAACTCGATTAAAGAATGTCAGTTTTATCGCAATTCGACGAGGATGGTGTAAGACACCAACAGAAATCCTAGAAATTCTGGTGATAACGCGTTCCAATCTAATAGGTCATCGTATTTTCCAAGTCAATGAACAAACGTTTCTCCCGATTCGTAACAGTTCCGTAACTGTTGATTGAAAAGAGAAGATAATATTCTGCACTAACGATGATTTTCCGTCATTGAGGAACGTGTATAATATATCGTTTTTCAACTGTTTTTATCAATCTGGCAAAGTTCTCACAGTAACCTTACGTTTCTTCCGAACGGTAGTGGAACTCTTGGAATGAACGTTATTCGAATGTTCCTCTGAGAGTATTTGGTTAATTAATAGTTATCAGACCGCAGACAACTCGCTGATGCTCGTACTGAAAGGGGAGATGGAAAAATGAACATTTTTCCGTTCGATGTCCTAGAATTAACATCCAACGGATGTTGTTATGTTGAATATATTGTCCCTGTGAGGTCGGTGACTCACACCCAGCCAACGATCAACTGCTCGTTAGCTATGAATACTTCCCGTCAATGTTCTTTACGCAGGTCCAGGAAAACTTCTTCAGCATCTAGAGAACGTCAACAAGATGTCTTCATCAGTTATGCAAGATCTGTTTGTGAAGAGACCCAGATAACATCGGAGTCAAGAATAATTCACACGCCCCTGAGACATCCTATGGACATTCTAGACACCGTGAAATGAAAATTCTACGGACGTCCTATTGTCGTTTCAGAGAACGTCCTATCAACGTTCCAGAAGACGTCTCATGAACGTGCCTATGGACATTCCGGAAGACGTTTTGAAGGATGTCCTATGAATTACAGAATGCTTCATGAACCTTCTCAAGAGACATCCCTAGCATGATTTTCCGAAAATGGTCCAATGTATATCCTTGGGAAATATTCTCTTCTGATGCAAAGTCGGGACATTCGTACTTTCCACGAACGTACTATGAATGTTTGCGGTACGAAAAACGCATGTCCTATGGATGATCAGGATGTCCCGACAGGATGTCCTATGGATATCCATGTGACTTTAGTGTGCTATTAGGGATCATCGTACAATTCACTTATGATGAGATATAAACCTGTACAGTCTCGAATCGTTGAGTCTGTTGAATGTTTGAATAGGTTATACTGATAATAGTGTCGATTATACTATGATCATGATATTATATCAAACTAGCTAGATACAACCCGCGTAGCAGATATATTTTCAACCTAGAGATGAGCAATCAGGAATTCGAAATCCCCAACTGGTACTGAAGAATTTCATTGGGAATGTTCAATTCGCTTGCTGAATACATTCCAGATTCAGCTACACAAACATTCAGACAATTTATGGAATGCTTCCAAGAACAAAAACAGGAAAACTTTAACTGGGAACCTGCATTGTACGTCGATGGCGGAATAAGCAATTTTCATGGGGATAAAAAAATCTTTACGCACGTGTTACAAACAATATCTTCTCAACAACTGTCCAGAAGAAGAGCAACTTCATTCAACTCATAATGTAGAGGATAGATAATCTCAGCTCATCTGGATGAATCGCTCATTCCAGTCGCGTTCAGTGATGCTCATTAAATCATACATGAAATGCGAGCAAATGATTATCTAATACACAGGAATATCGTGACGCATTCTCTCTGATTTCATCTCTATTCCACTGGTACTCCATACAATATACGAAGTCAGCCACCTTTATTTGTTTGCTTACTGCCTTGCTGAATTCCATGAAGAAGTACATATACTGCGTTGATGATAGGATGTTCTGTTCGTCGAGCGAGTATGTTCTAACAAGAATGACGCAGAACCAAATTATGTGGTGTGAGGCTATAGTGTCATTTCCGTATGAACAGACTTTGTTCGTCGAACAAAACAGCCTACCAACAGAACATTCTATGGGCCCCTTCTGCGGGAGCATTGATTTCCTCGCCTAACAGCAACCGTGAGAGAAGTGTACTTCTTTCACACTCTGCCGTGAAGTATTTTGATATTGAGAAATTGTTGACTTCAGGCACAACGAATATATTGAGAGAGTGCGTTTTTTTTACAGTTGTAGAAAAAGAAGTCTCGACGATTGTATGACCATGTGACTGATTTTTCTAGTCCATGATAGGAATGAATTTCTTAGTGCAAACAAATAACGGATCATTAGTTTGTTTCCTGAAAGTTGAATTTTTGATGATCTTACGGATGAAATCAGACAATTCAGTATCAGACTCCTGAGTCTTCGTCATGACATTGGAATTCAATTAAATTCAATTCAATTCAATTCATTCAGCAATAGCAACAGTTACAAGTAACAATTCGTGGATAAATTATTCTTTGGAACACCAGTCAGGAAGGAAAAGATACACCTAAGCATTCAGGATGCTTGTGTTGTGCTCTGTTCCAACCATCGTGGAGAAAATTATGAACTTAAACTAATTTAATTTCCTAATATAATATAAATACAATAGTAATACCATAGAACAGGAAGAGAAATGGGAAATAATATGTGAGAAGAAATGAGAAAAGGAGAGCGACTGTATGATTAGTTGAAAATGTCTGAAATCTCTGGTTTATCTGAAATGAATTTTTTGATTTCTTTTTTGAAATGCGGTAGTTTAGTAATTATCTTGATACTCGTAGGCAATAGGTTGAATAACTTGGGACCGTAATAGAAAATTACTCTTTGAGTGTGACTCTTTTTGAAAATGGGTATTTTGATTGAAGCTTTCATGACAGATCTTGTTTCCTTCATTACGTTACTAGGTTCGAATTTGTGTTTGTTTGTGAAAATCCAAATCAGGCAGTGGTAAATGTAAAGTTCTCTAGTTTTCAAAATTCCAGTTTCTCTGTATAGATCTTTGGTTGCAAATAGTCTAGATTTTTTCAAAATTATTTTCAAAATTGTGTTTTGTGTTGTTTGTAGAAAGTTCATAGAATTATTGAACAGGCCACCCCAAGCTGCAATACAGTATCTCAGGACAGATTCGATTAGTGAATTGTATACTAGTCTAGATTCTTCTTATCCAAAATATCACGAAGTAGATACATTTTTCTGATCAACTGTCTGATCCGTTTTGCTACGTACGTGGTATGGTCATCCCATTTTAGATACTGGTCTACAACTACCCCAAGATATTTTATAGTTTTGGTCTTTTCTATGACAGGACATTTGCAATTGTTGGAGTTATCACAGCTGTTTTGATGTATGAAAATAGTTGGTATTTCGGGTTGTTCATTTGGTAATAAAGAGAAGGTTACAAATTTAGTTTTCGTTACATTTAGACTCAAGAGATTGTAGTTGAGCCATACCTGAATGAGTTTTAGACCTCTGTCCGATACAGTAATTACCTCATTCCAAGTTGTACCTCTGAAAACCAGTGCCGTATCATCAGCATATGATATGATGTGGCCTCTGAAATTATTAATCGAGCTAATACTATTTATATAAATGAGGAAGAGGATTGGTCCTAGTACAGTACCTTGGGGAACACCTATTCTAACCGTCATTGGTTCAATCAGTTGGTTTTCTATTTTCACTCTTTGTACCCTGTTTGTTAAATAATCCTTCAACAATATCAGTGTGGGTCCTCTAATGCCGCACGTATATTACTTATCCAATAACTTGTCATGGTCAACGGTATCAAACGCCTTGGCAAGATCAAGAAAAACTGCAAGGCATTTTTCAGATCTATCCAAGGCACTGCCCGTTTTTTCAAGAAAATCTAACACAGCCCGTTCTGTATTTGAATTATTGATGAATCCGAATTGTCTATCTGTCAAGATATTTTTTTCATGCAAATACTTATTAATTCTTCTTTTCAAAGTTTGCTCGAAGATTTTTGAGAAATTATTGATTACAGCTATTGGTCTATAATTTCCAACGTTACTACGATCACCAGACTTATATATGGGGGTGACAGTGGATTCCTTCCATTGTGATGGTATTTTACCACTTTTATAAACGTTATTGATTATGTGAACTAACGGTGGCACAATGTGGATATGAATATTTTTTATAATTTTTGTGCAAATCTTGTCGGGACCTGGAGAACAATTGGTTTTCATTTCAGATATAATATTGATTATTTCAGTTTGGGTAACTGATTGAAGGAACATTGTTGACAATGTTGACTTGTCTATGTACCTGGCAAAAAAGATATATACACACTTTACTCCCGAGATCTTCTTGGGAGATAGGTTTTTTTTGACAAAGATATTTGAAATGACCCAAATTAAATAGCATATTGACATAAATATCTGAGGTACGGAAATTTTTTTTCTGATTTATTCATTGGAGATCAGAATTTTTCACCGAATTCTAATCATTTAAATCAAATTATCTATTTATTAAAGAGAACTCTGTTATTGTGACATCATTATTCCCGAAGCAATGACAGTTGTTATTCTAAAGAAGGTCAATTCTGGAAATCAAGGTATAACCAGGATTCTCTTCCTTGATTCCACTTAGTGACCATGACTGAAACAAGAACTAGAATCGATGATGAAGAAGTGTGTCAGATGGCGAATAAGTTTGAAGAATCAAGTGAAACCATCACAACCCATTCAATTGCTGACGAAACAATAGAAATAAATTCAAGTGGATTATTGGTTCGGATATCAAGAAAATACGTTTTTATTAGCGACTCACTATCACAGTCATTTCCTCGAGTTCAACCATCTAGAGAAATTCATTCGTTGAATGAATCGAAATTTGAAAAAACATCCATGGGAAGCTCTTATTCGAACGCTCCAAAAAAAAATTAAATCGAATGTTCCTTCATAATTCTGACTATGAACTCATTACCTCATATCATTCACAATTTATATAATCGTAAAATATGGTCGCGTGATCTACTCATTTTGTTAAATCTGCTTAGTTTAAGTTTATGAAATTCTAATTTGAATAAATATTGATCATCGCGACAAGCTTTCATTAATTCTGTATAATGAGGTTTTTAGTTGTTGGAATTGTAAAGGAACATTCCATTTTATTCTTATTGAAGCGTATGAATAATAGCTTTTTATTATTTTTTTCTCACTTCCAATTCATCTCTCAATTTTCAGCTCTTGCTGGCTAGGTTTCTCAGTCTGTTCATTTCATTTAATGCATCATTGTTGCAAGGATGTTCGCCGGTTGATTCTGAACAGTCTGGCTCTTCAATAAGGAGATCTCATTATGATTCCACCCTACTCAAAGTCAAGTAAATAACGGCGTAGTCGACATAACTATCTTGCATTTTGTTCAAACCGCTTCATTATAAATGGAGCGCAAAAAACTTTTTTAGAGTGTCATATTGGACTTGGAATGATGTTGAATCATCGAATTATTCCCGGCAAGCTCTCTCATTTGATACCCATATCGCAGAAGTGCATCAGAAATAATTATCTCGACATTTCGGATGGTTTGCTATATTTTATTCATAATGACGTCACATCATTTTTCGAGTTACTCCCAAAGTGCCCTTCCATTTGATACACATATTGTAGGAGTGTATCAGAAATAACTATTACGCCATCTTGGATGGTCCGCTATATTCAATATTTGAAATAACTCCACATACTCTATCGTGTATTGTCATCCAAACTCAACGTGTATACGAAATTTCAGCTCAATCGGTTGCAGATATCTACTTCAAAATTGAGTTCAAAGATGCTGTTCGAACTAACATACATACATCCATACATTGCAAATTGAATGAGGTATGGGATTCGAATATTTTTGCACGGAATATGAATTACGATCATAGTACTGAATATTCCCGAAGTGATGAATTCAATGAGCGTTCAGTGCGAACTATCAAATACATATTTGTCATGTTCGAGGATATTCATATGGCTCTCTCAGCATACAGAAACGTTTGATCACCATGTTGTGCAAGCATGACAAAACTCATTTGAGAAGATGGTGAGAGATGTTGTCTCAACACAATCTACAGTACGACAACCATGATAGATAAATCATGAACAAATTCGAAATGGGATGAAAACGAAATAGAATGCTCAAAAAATTACTATGGTGAAAAAAATTATGTGAATGACTTGGGTCAACTCAATTGTTGAAACTCAAACAAGTAGGATATGATGAGAATCAAGATAACAAGATTGGAATTGAAATGAAGAGCAAAATATACGAAAAGGTTCAACAGAAAAAAATGTTTCGAGAGAATATGATGATTTTTGTTGATATTTATTCATCCATTTCCCTCATTGTCATATGGATTGGATCTTCGAATTGAATATACTGTTAGAGAAAATATACCATGGAGGGTGAGAGTGACTGACAGGATAATGAATGATTCAGATTAACCCACAACTGTAACGAAGGTATGAAATAATCTGATATTCCAGGAACTATTATAATTTCAGAAGTGCCTTCAATTGTAGTGATGCAAAATGAAGAGGATATCCAATACATCCTCTCATAGCTACTAGTCTTCCTAGGTTAACTAAGGATGTGTAATTGATGCACACACTATCTTGGCTGCTTGATATCAGGTCGATTCAATAGCATCGAACTCTGATTTACTGTAGACACCTCTGGTATATTTCTTTATTGTTCCTTTCAAGGAGTTCTAATAAATCCAGTTCGTAGGAGCAGGTGGAGTGGAACATCTTCGTGAGATATCTGAGGCTCATGATTCACAAACAGGTCTAAGGAGTGAGTTTGATAGGCGTTGAAGTGAGAGCCCTAGAGGAAGAGGCCATTTTAAGTTCACCTTCTAAGGATAGGATTGGTTTGATGAGCTTCGAGCTTCAAGCAAGTTCATCAAGATCTCCATGGACTTGTGAGAGCACATTTCATATATTGCTTCAATTCTGAAGCATATCTTGCGACACTCGGAGAGGTGTCAGTCATTATTGGTACGGAAATTTTCAGACACTGAATGAAATAGATTTTGTGATACTGCTATTGACCCACATATTATATTGGGACAACATTCAGAAATTTCAGTCCACTTATTCATACAAAAATTTCACATTCATCTTCGATCATTCTCAGATGGAAATCTATGATTATTTGGCGCAAGTACTAGTCAGGCTCATTCCATATGTTTTGGTCAAAGTGATCATCCATTGAATATCAAAGCCCAACAGTTTTTTCAATATATATGGGGTGTATTTGAATCGAGTACATATTATATTCAGCACATCAAGATAATGCAGTCTTGAAAATTTTACCATGAAGTCAGTTTTTTTATAATTGGTAACAAGCTGACGTCATTTGTACGTCATTATCACGTCAGGCCTGACGTCAGGATGACTTCCGAAATGACGTCATAATGACGTTCATATGACCCTCTAAGTGAAAGACGAATGACGTCATTTCCATGTCGTCAAAATGACGTCATCCTAATGACGTCAAAATGACGACATCCTAATGGCGTCAAAATGACGTGATCTTTACGATTATTCATATCACTGAAATCTTCTGCATGTTTCAGTTTATTTTGTGCTATTTCAAAATTTTCTGTAGTTAAAAAAAAAACACTGTTGCATTAGGGTTGTATCAATATTCAGAAAAGATGAGATTTTTTCTGTATAATCATATTGATGTTCCTTCACCACATTAAATGCAAAATATTATTATAGGTAGGTACTATAAATACCAGTTTCATAACATGTTCTTTTTATTGGGAACTCATTCTATTCGGATGATGCACTCAAGAGATTTCTCAGAACCCTATGGTATTCCTTCAATGGCGTCCAATTCACATTCTGCTTTTTCGGCATTCACCACTTGTCTAAAATAATAACCATGCTGCCATCCTCAAATTCTACTACTTGATATATGAATATGAATAAGTATGACCACCACACCACACCACATAGATAGCCGAATAACATGATAATGATGGCCTTCTATGTATTGTTATTTTGTTGTTATGGTCATCATGGCCGCAACGGCGAAGCGAAAGTGAACGGCTTGGCCACAGCCGTCTTCTGAATACGGCTGTGAGTTGGCGCTGGCGGTCGACGTTCGCATGTCTGCGCAAGGTCCTTGCCGACCAATCAAATACAGTTCTCTACGCACTCTCCTGCTCTGATTTGAATTCGCATTCCGGAATAACAACGTTATAAGCTTTTTATGACGTGACATTCGGTCTTATATTTTTAATAGCTATAGGGAGAATACTTTTTACAGAAGGTATATTATCAACAATTATCTCAGAGACCATCGAAAACACACATCTCGCACAGATCAGAGGAAAAATCATTATGAAGCATAATATATGATGAGTGACATATTATATAACATAACTACTAACGTTTTCATATAACAGAGATGGGAAACTTCTTGATTATGGATTTTCCTTGATGTAGATGACTCAATAAATGATGGTCATAATTAGTCATGAAAATGACCATCAGATGACGTCATAATGACGACATATCAAGGACGTCTATATAACGTCATATTAGGTACGTCACAATGACGTCATTTTGAGGTCATATGACGTCAATTACCATAAATGACCATATATTGACGTACAAATGACGTCAGCTTGTTACCTGGGCTGTCAGTCAACTCGAAATTTCATATTTGAACAAGAAAAAGGCAAAGAAATCGAGTGCGCCACATCGAATCAATTTGAATGATTGCACTTTGGGTTCTTGTGCCTCTGATACAGAAAGTAGAATTCGAGGTGACCTTTGATTTTCCACAGTGTGAGATATTTGATTAAAAAAGGTGTTCCACCCCGAATCTCATTCTCATTTCTATATTTTTGTCATGTCATTCGATAGTTAACGTAGAGCTTCCTCATGGTTAAAAATTTTGGCACTCATTTCAAAGCTATTCGCTTCAATCATTGGCAGATATCATACATTTTCATTTCCTTTCGACTAGAATATTTTCAGAAGAAGAGATCAATTCTCTTGTTCAGATTGATTGCTGATGATTGAAGGATGTTTCATATCTGCAAAGAATAACATGCATTTCTCTTCATTTCATCTCAAAATTGAAAGATTTTGAACAAGTGAATATCTCACCTGAACTGCAGCTGCCACAAGTGCATCTATCGGAGTTTTTCTCAATGCATCGATGAGACTACTGGTATCACCTGCACCAACAGAAATGTTGAGGAGCTTTCCCAAAGCAAATGCTGTATGCCTCGGTCGTGGTTCCAATCCACCAGAACTGAGAGCTGTTCCACTTTGTTGAATAATCCCACTTATTAGACCTGAAATGATTCGATTCAATATTTTGACAACTACAGTAAAAATTCTGTCGATCTAATCTGTTCCATGTTTTCCCTAGTGAAGCATGTATGATCATAGTCAGTATCTGAATCTTTCTCATATCATTGGACGATTGAAATATATTAGCTGGAGTGCAATTATGAGCCGGATATCTCGAAAATTTTAGAATTGAATAAATGCTGCTGAGAGATGGTTTGAGTAACAATGTGATGTATTTTCAACATGATGGAGTGATGCAGCATATCCAATTCGATTAAATTTTCCAATACATATCCACTACCTACATCAGTGGATTGACAGAAGAAAAATGATAAAATGATCTTTGCAATTGTCCTACTAGATCCACTTGGACACCGTTCGGAAGGAGCAACACAGGGTGAATTATTCATTGAGCTGGCACGATGTGATGATAGGGGAAAACGTATTCGATTCTATCAATTCCTGTTTCATCTTCATCGATCAGATCTTTGAATAAGAATATCCCTAGGATGATACTGAAACATACTAACTGTGGACAAATGATTCTACATAATTTAGGTTACCAAATATTATTCACCTGGTGAATTCAATAGTAGGCTTTTCGATTTCATGCTCAGTCAAAGTGTGTTGCCAACTTATGATAATAATTATATAGTTCATCAACTGCACATAGATGCACACATATAAACATACATACAATATGAATATTATAGAAATATGGAGAAGCAATATCCGCAATTCATTTAAATGAGTTTGAATGGAAAGGGGAAGATTAATCAATGTTATGATATTTATAGGTATATGAGCTGTTATCATGGAAACAGAGTAAAAGAGCCTTGGACAAATAAGGAGAATTCACAAAGTCTTGGACTGTTTGTGGAATAATCAATACTTTTGTTTATCTCTAGTTGGATGTGGTTTTACTACTTATATCTCATTTGATATTATTGGTATCCTATAATTCTCAATTGAATTCTCATGGATATGATACTTATACTCGAGTGGAACAACTGATGGTTGAATTTTCGTTCAATATGGACATGGTGTTGAAAATGATTCCAAAATGTTATTTACTGATAATACTAATAATATTCATAAACAAGATATGATGTATAACTATCATAACAATACTAATAGCTATATTCAAAAGATATATTTAATTTATTTCATGATAATAACATCACTTGATAATAATAAGAATAATGACATCAAGAACAAAAACAACAACAACAATGATGGAAATAACAACAATGAAAATGAGATCAACGACAATGATAGGTAATGATGTATCAAGCCAAAAACTCCTGAACTAATGAAGAAAGAATTGTGTTCAGAAGAAGTTCAATGTACAATCTGTGAAATGTTCATCTCTATAACTTCTTGTATTCCAGATCTGTCACTGGCCATTACAAATTTCACCAATCCACTATTGAATATTGACACCAAGTAGTTTTTGAGGGATGAGGGAATCGAATTATATAATCGTGGGCCAAGGAAGTAAAAACTCCTTTGACCAATCGTTTTTCCCGAGGGAAGAGATTTCAACTCTACATTTTCTCTCGTACTAGTGGGATATTCATGGTCTATGTATCTCGAAAAATGTTGATTTTCATGTTGGAATACTACAGTTTCAATGAATTATATTTGTCGCATATCAGGAATTTTCACTTCTTGGAACAACACATTACTCGGGTGAGTTCCTAGTTTCCCATAGCAAATTTTCATGAACCACTTCAGTATAATTTGATTTTTTTTCATGTTGTGCTACCTACTCCACCTCAAGCGACTATGCCATATGATAGTGACGACTCTACGAGAGCATTGTACAATTTTCGCATATGTGAGTTATCAGCATACTTTTTTATAAATTTGAATCTTTATAATTGAGTTCTTATAGTCTCTTCACTGTCGTGTCTACATAATGATCCCATTTCAAATGCTTATCTATATGGATACCTGAATATTTTGTTACATTTGTAGCTTCCAATTTGATGTGCATGTCATTGTGTAAAATATCTATATATTTAAAATTAGGTTGTTTAACTTTTTTGCAGCTGAAAGGTATATAAACTGTTTTCTAGAGATTGATTGTCAGTAGGTAATGACTGAACAAATCCATTATCTCAAATGAACACTGCTCTACTGTTTGTTTCAGGTGATTCCAGTTATTGCCTCTATATAGTACTGCAGTGTCATCTGGAAAACTCAAGATATGGCCTCCATTTCTCATTCTCCTGACCTGCAGAACATATCTTTCCAAAGACTCATTCATTCATCGAACAGCGAGGCTCTGGAACACATTGCCAAGGGAGGTGTTTTCTGAGGCATATAAGTTCCAGAAAATTGAGAAGAACACCAATTCCTACCTCATTTCCCTTGGTTTTTTCATCATCGCTTGGAACGCACGAAAGAAAATCCCTATAATGTTCAAAGAACATCGTGCGTTCCTAGGGGGGATAGGGACAGGAGGTAGGTATTGGAATTTGAACTTTTGGAGAATATATGTTGTTGGGAATACTTCTTCAGGCAATGAATTCCAGAGCCTAGCCGTTCTATGGATGAAGGAGTTTTGATAAAGTGCTGTTCGACATCTTTCGAGGTTGACAACGAAAGGATGTGCTGACTGGAATTGTCTAGTTCGTCTGACTGGTATTGCTAGTGAAGGGATGATAGCAGAGATTTCCGAAAAACATTTCTCGTAGAAGTATCGATGGAAAAGTGAAAGGTCGCCGACCTTTCTACGGTGTTCCAATGATGTCAAAGAGTGAGTGAGTGTGGCGTCAACCACCAGGCGAATGGCTCTTCTCTGGATGGAATCTAAGAGCATCAGCGTATTTTTGGTGCTGAACCCCATATGTGGAAACAGTATTCTGGAACAGGCCGTATCTAGGCTTTGTAGATCATGAGAAGCTGTTGAGATGTGAAATAGCTTCTGGCACGGAACAAGATTCCAAGTTTTTGTGAAGCAGCTTTTGCGATGCATCTGACATAATTATCCCATGAAAGAGTGTTGATGATGAAAATACCGAGCATAGATATGGTGGACTTGGTGGTGATGGTGGTGCCAGACATTACGATATCGGGCATACGGAGTTCCGCCTTCCTAGAGGAAATACAGGCTTGAGTTTTGGTGGCGTCGAATTCAACTAGGTTGTTGGTTCCCCAGGCTGTGATTTCAGCAAGGTGTTCATTGACAGCATTGACCTGCCTGCGCCGTGAGTCCTTAGTTTCCTGGGAAGAAATGGGAATGCTGGGAGAGAACGCAGTATGGAGGGTACTATCATCTGCAAAGCTGTGGATGAGGCAATTTGTTATTTTCAACAGATATGAAGAAGACGTAATGTTGGTGCCAGAATTGATCATTGTGGAACGCCGGAATTGATGCCAATGATATCAGACGATACACTGTCCACCACCACGTGAAGCGATCTGCCCGAAAGAAAACTCGATAAGACAGGGCATAGCTGAGGTGGTAAGCCGTATGATGGTAGTTTGTGGATGAGTCCTTCGTGCCAAACACGGTCGATTGTTTTCGATATGTCCAACGCGACAGATAGAGATTCCCTGTGTTTTTCCAATGAAGCTTGCCATAAATGGGTGACGTAGGCAGGTAGATCTCCGGTAGATCTTCGGTGGCGAAAGCCGTATTGTCTATCATTGATGATTCCTGAGCTCTCTAGATATTTGATAAGCTCAATATTGATGGCTTTCTCCATCACTTTGGAGATAACTGATAACAGGGCAATGGGCCTGTTGTTTTTGGGCAGGTTCTTGTTCCCTTTCTTGGGGATTGGTTTGACTCTACCTGTCTTCCAGCATGATGGAAAAATACTCGACCTGTACGAGACGGTAAATAACTTGCAGAGAATCGGTGTCAATTCTGGTGCACATTTTCTGAGGATAATGGATAGAATTCCATCAGGACCGTTAGCCTTATTCGTTTTGTGACCAAGCAAAATTCGTCTGATAGTGCGTTGACGGAAGACGATTTCGGGCATTCTACTCTCAACGGCTAGAATGTCTGGTGGCACTTTTTCATGGGAATCTGAAGTGGAGTTTGCTGCGAACATCTCTGCAAAAATATTTGCTTTCTCCTGCGATGTTGTTGCTTATGTGCCGTCGGAATTGGACAGGGGTGGAAATGAACAATTAGTGGAATTTCTTCCGACCGCTTCAGCAAGGGACCAAAACGGACGGGAGCCATTGGGACAATCTATGAGTTTCGATCTTATCTTGGCATTATTTGTTTCTTCCGAAGCATCTATTTTTTGGCTGCAATTATTCCTGGTATCAACGTATTCTGCGCTAGTCGCGATGTTAGGGTTTTTGCGCCAGCGATGGTAGGCTGTTTGTTCCAAGGCAACAGTTCTAGAACAGTTTTTGTTGAACCAGGGTTTCGATGGTGAAGATCTTTCCGCAGAGTGAGGCATGTATGTATCCATTCCGAGCATGATGATCGCGGATATTTCTGCAGCACAATATGAAGGGTCCTCGGATTCAAAGCATAATCTATGCCAAGAAAACTTGGAGAAAAACATGCGGAGCCTGTCACAATCTCCTGAATTGTAATGCCATATAAGACGTAGGGGTGTCGAAGCAGTTGATGGAATGAAAAATGGGCAGGTTGTGGAGATGAGTGTGTGGTCAGAATTGCCATGTGGAGCTTGTTCATCTATGGTGTAGGGTGCTGAATTACTAGTGAGGAATGAGTCGAGTATGTTAGCTGAATGATTAGGCATCGGAAATTCGTGTGTGTTCTTCGATAAGCTGCTCTAAGCTGTGAGTGATGGCGAAAGCTTCGGCTTGTTGCCCAGCTTCATCCGTTCTTTTAGAGTGAATGATTCAAGCAGTGTTGTGTACATTGCAATCGCCCATGATAATGATTTCTGCTGCTGGATGGTTTTGTTGAATTTGGTCAAGCTTCAGAGAAAAGAATTCGAAGAGCTCTTCATTGGATGGATCATTTGGTG